TTTTTTTATTTTTAGTACAGACGGGGTTTCACCATGTTGACCAGGATGGTCTCGATCTCTTGACCTTGTGATCCACCCGCCTCGGCCTCCCAAAGTGCTGGGATTACAGGCTTGAGCCACCGCGCCCGGCCTTTTTTGGTATTTTTAAGTAGAGACTGGATTTCATCGTGTTGGCCAGGGTGGTCTTGATTTCCTGACTTTGTGATCCGCCCGCCTCAGCCTCCCAAAGTGCTGGGATTACAAGTGTGAGCCACCGTGCCTGGCCTGGAATTCCTTTTCACATACTTCTTGGCCATCAGTATATCTTCTTTGGGGAAATGTCTATTCAAGTCCTTCACCCTTTTTTTAAAGTATAATTTCCACATTTTTTCCCTCAGAGGATAGTTTGTCTTCAGTCCTCAAGGACTCAACTCCTTATGTGGGCCTTGGTGGGGGTCGTGGGTACCACCCAGCTCTGGACTTGGGTGGAGTGCGTGGCCCTAGACCTGAGGAGCAGGATTCCTGACCGGCTTGCTGTGAAGGGCCGCACTGCGCAGTGATACAGCTTCACATGAGCTTGGGAGGCATGCGGGCGGCACAGACACTGCAGCCTCTACTGCATCCCTGATGATGAATTGCTTAACGGTGGTGTACCTGGACACGCGTGAGGCGCAGTGCCTGCGGCGATGGGCTGCCCACGGCCGTGGCTCTTTTTGGCACAACATTTTTCCTTCTTGTCCAGGAAACAAGGACCAGAGAGAGACCATCGTCCATTCTAAAATCAGGATGTGTGGTTTTCTGTTGTTGAGTTGGAGTTCCTTGTGGACTCTGGATATCAGTCCCTAGGAGACGTGTGGTCTGCAGACATTTCCTTCCATCTCTGGGTTGCATTTTTCTCTCTGTTGATGGGGTCCTTTGATACATGAGAGCAGGCTTTGATGTGCAGTTAGGAGTTGGCCAGGCAGAAGGATGGTGTGAGTGGAAGCACTGATGCCTGAAGAAGGGTGCCGGAGGGAAAGAGGCCGCATGGTCGGCTCGTAAGGATGGGCCCCACAGGGAGAGACAAATGTGCACAGACACAGGCACACTGTGCAGGTGCGCTCCGTGGGAGGGCTTCACTTATGTTTACAAAGTGCCCATTTCCAAGCCCCCTGGGAGAAAGTGTTATAAAAAGGCAGAACAGGCCGGGTGTGGTGGCTTATGCTTGTAATCCCAGCACTTTGTGAGGCCGAGGTGGGCAAATCACAATGTCAGGAGATCAAGACCATCCTGGCCAATATGGTGAAACCCTGTCTCTGTTAAAATACAAAAAAATTAGCTGGGCACGGCAGCACACACCTGT